AGCGGGGCGGGCGCCCGGGGGAGGCGGAGCACCTTCCTGAAAATTTCGGCGGGGGCTAACGCCCCGCCGCCCCCACGAAGATTACGCCTATGCGGACTAGGGTTGCCAGGCCCCTCCTGGCAACTGGCAGGGGAGGGGGGACTTACTGGGAGCAGCAGAGAGGCCCATCCAACATATAGTGATGTGTCTACATCACTGCCCATCATCACGTCTGCAACGTCAGGGCGATGCTCTGGTATTTGGGCAAAATCTCTATGATAAATTTGGCAAAAACCTTAGAGTTTTTGGTCCAATGTCCTGGATTTTAAACCAATGGATGTGATAACATAACTTCTGGGTCATGTGAGCAGTGACATAGACATGTCACCGCACGTTGGGTGGATCTCCCTCTTTTTCAGGGTAAGCTCCTCCCCACTGGCCAGCTGATCGGTGGGGAGGTGGGGCCTGTTGGGGGGACCCCACCTCCACTAGGGGTCTGGGAACCCTACCGTGGTCCTAAGCAGGGCTATGTGCCATGTCTTTTCTGACTCCCTTTAGTATCCAAGGGGTTTGCCTTGTTTTTGAGGGGTACCTGATAAAGAAACAGAAATCCAAAGCCCCCTTGAGCGCATGGAACGAATTTTGTGGGTTCTGAACAAATAATTTAATAGTCATAAATAAATTTAAATTATGCATTGTGTTATTATAGCCAGGGCTATTTTTGGGCAGGAACGCACAGGAACGGAGTTCCGGCTGGCTCCTGAGTTGGCCACACCCAGCAGGAACTCATTAGCATAATAGGCCACACGCAACAGCAGCAACTCATTAGGATTGGCTACATTAGGGGTGTGTGGCCTAACATGCAAAGGAGTTCCTGCTACAAAAAAAACCTCTGGGTTTTGACAACAAAGTAAACAGAATAAGAAGCAAAAGGTGGGTGTGGCTGGATGACCACACTTCTGGTAACATGGGGGTGTGGCCTAATATGCTAATGTGTTGTGCTGTCAAGGGTGTGGCCTAATATGCTAATGAGTGTCTGCTGTTGGGTGTGGCCTATTATGCATTTTTTTCCTGCTGAGCTTTTTCTACAAAAAAAGCCCTGATTATAGCTATGACCATTTTTCAGGGTGCAGTTTGTAAAAATAGCTGTTAATATGTTATTGTTTTTAATGTTCTGATTATATGTTTCCATCATGAAATTAATAATTGAAATTCATCATTCAAATTCATACAAATTCATGAAATTCATCATTCAAATTCGTACAAATTCATGAAATTCATCATTGAAACTTTTGTTGTGTATGTGAACAGTAGAACATTGGGTTGTAGTCTTCTTCTTCAAACCAAAGTAGCTTTGGACAATCTGGATCTAATGTGAATTCCTTCTGGACACTTTCTAAGCTTTTACTGACTCCCACAGCACAAATTTTGTAGTCTTTTACAAGTGTTCCTCTTAAATGTGTGACTGTGGAAAAGAGAGCAAGAGCTCTTTCCTGTACTGGTGTCGGAATCTTGAAAAGAGCATAAAGCACACACTTCATAATAGGATTTTTACCATGGCTGTTTTCAGAAGATATGCAGTATTTGAATAGCTTAGGCATTCTGCAGAATTCTGAAGGTTTGTGGGTTCAAGTTTCATTCAGCCATACTGAACAGAATGCAGTATGTCAAGTTACCCTATTGGTAGTGTTGGATGAATCAGATTATGCTTAGAGTGTTATCGACTAGAAACTGGCACCGTGATACTGCCCTTTCAAAGAATATCTTTCATTGACCATCTTACCATTTCAAAGTATGTTTTCAATAATCCAACCATAGTCTGTAGACCACTAGTCTATTAGAGGGATTTATTTATCCATTGATTATAACTGGATTATTTTAGGCATGCGAAGGGATATGGGCGTTTCTTTGATATGATTTAAAGAAATGTTAAGTCAATTGTGCAGCTTTGAAGTAACACTGCATAAAATTGCATGTGATTGAAACCATGGTTCCGGAAAACAGCGTATTTGTTTGTGCCTGCAGTGACGCATGCATAATTTTGGAAGAGGTATTCTGTTCTTTGTGGGAGACAAGAGGGAATGCCTCTCCTAAAATTTGCCACTCATATGGGTGGGTTGTGTTTTTTTTTTAAACTTCTTATAGGTGTGAGCATATGGGCCCCTGCTTATGCACAATCGCTCATGAACATGGTGTCCATGCATGTAGGAAGTATATGAACCATCCACAGGGTCAAGAAATGCTGCTTTTTCAATTTTTTCCAGTCACATGGATGGGGTCTTCCTGTCATGAGCTTTCCTGTGTGTCCAGTGTTTTCAAACATGAGATCCCCCATGTGCTGCATGAAGTGGTACAGTGCACCTCCATATGTTCTGATGATCACGTATCTTTGCTCCAGATATTTTTCTTTAAAGTCAAAATGCTTTGTGTGTGCAGCTGATCTCTTTTTTATATTAGTAGAAAATATCAAACAATTCTGCTTGTCTGTTGTTATGTGCAGATAAATGCTCTGCCATGCCACTACACATAGAAGTAATTGCTCCCCCCGACCTTTTGGGTCAGAGCATGGCACTGGTGTTTTGGTCCCATTTTTATCTATGGAATGTGTTTCCAAACAGCTATCCTTAGGGTTAATTAATAGTTGGGACCAGTGCACATATTACTCTTAATGTGGATAAAATGGTCAGTGGGGTCCTGTTTGTTTAAAAGATTTGTATTCCTGACTCTCCAGAATGTGACCCGATCCCAACCCCCTCTCATTTTGTGTACAAATTCTCCACCTTTCTCCTGCTGCCACTCAGCGTAGATTTGAAATGGGAGTGGGGGCAGGGAGGGGACAGCTTGTTCAGTACTAATCTTGGTTATTAATGGGTGTAGTCAAGACCCAGCATAGTGGCGTAGTTAGAATGTTCGACTAGGATCTGCAGAAACCCAGGTTTGAATCTGTACTCTTCCGTGGAAACTTGCTGGGTGACCTTGGGCCAGTCACAGACCCTCAACCTAACCTACTGTACAGGGTTGTTGTGAGGGTAAAACAGAGGAGAGGAGAACGATGCAAGTTTCTTTGGGTCCCCATTGGGAAGAGGGGTAGTATAAATTAAGTAAACGCATGGTTGTCCTAATCCTCGACGAATCTGGAGACTGGGAGCGCTGGCTGGCGAGAGAGGCCGGGGTGTGGGAAGGAGTGTGCAGCTCTTCAGTCTGAGCCAGCTCCCTTAACCATTGCTAAGAACATTAATTTTCTTTTGCCAAAGATCCGCTGTGCTAAAAATGGCTTTCCTGCTACCACTTAATATTGGTTTAAAATGCCTAATCTCTTCTAATGTACAATTAAACTCTGAAGGTCAGTAAGTCTGATGCAGTGGCAATTTCCTGTGGAGGGAAATGGCACTATATTTCTTAGTGCATAAGTCTTTTAAGACAAAATGACGGGTCGTTTTTAAAAATATTTTAACTCTTATAATTTAAGCTGCATGCTTCAAATGAGCAATTGTGTCTATAAATGCAAGCAAGCTTTAAATCCACCGTACAGTTTGCATAATGCTAGGTATTATGGCTAGGTCTAAATCTGAGATTTAATTATTGCATTTATAGCTTTTTTAATAATGCCGGGTTTCAAAACACGAAGCTCCGCCGAGCACATTTGTGGGAGATAACTGGAGCATGGAATACAGATAAGCATCTGAGTCAGAGAACCTTTTGTCCCTCCCTCCACTTTGTTTCCCAGAGGCTGCTAACATAGAGGGTGATGTCATACTTGAAGCAACAGCCCAAGAATAAGGCTTTCTATCTCGAAATGCAGCACAGACGCTTATTAAGTGAGCCAAGGGTGTTCGCTAGAGGGTTTTCAGCATGCACTGTCTGTGTGACATCTTTAGACCTTTCAGCAGTGAGAGTCCATGTTCTGTCTACTATAGACAGGAATTGGAAGTGTAAGTTGGAGCTTTACATGTTCTTCACTCTCTTTTATTTTCTGTTTTGGGCATTGTAGGCTAGCTTTCTCTTCTATTCAAGTGATTGTAGGGTGGCTTAACCCCATTCTTCCTGGTTGCATAGTGTAATGTGTTCAGTAGCAGAGGTAACCTCTGACCTGTATTTTAATACTTGATTGACTGGACTAATTTCTCTCTGAGCCACAAATCTCAATACTGGTAAATTGTTAGGGCTATCTTCATAGCAGTGATTTGAAAAAAGTCCTTTCATGTAGCAACTCCAAAAAAGTATGACGGTATTAGAATAGCGTGCTTTCTGCTTATTTATTCTGTATAGCTCATTTGTTTTGAATAAATAATAGGTTAAGGTTTTAGTCATAACACAGTTTTATTATTCCAGAGACGTGGCTGTTGTTTCTTAGATAAATGATTGTCTTTTGTATATCTCATTTGTTTCCTTTCTCAGTACCATTTAGTTAAATACAGAGGGGATTCACTGTGCAGTACTTTGCAGCGTTTAGACAAAATTGCATGTTATAAAGGGCTATTGTCTTTGTCAAAACAGCTGTGATCTTGAACTTGCACCGATTTTATAGATATAATGATCTGTTAAGAAAATAAATTAGACTGATAACACTGTTTTCAAAGTGCACTAGGTTCAAGGAGTACACCTTTTCAATAAGCAAAATACTTTAATGGCCGAAGTACTTTTAAAAGTTCTATTTCCTGCGTGTGTTGAAAGTACTCACAGTCTTTTGATAGGTCTGTCTTTCAAAGGTCAATACCGGCAACTTGAACTGAGCCCAGAAGCAAATTGGAAGCCAGCGTAGGTGGAACAAAACTACAGTGATACCGTCCCTATGACCCACTCCAATCAGCAGTCTGGCTGCAGCATTCTGTACCAGTTATTGCTTCCAGACAGTCTTCAAGGGCAGCCCAATGCAGAGCACATTGCAGTGGTCTAATATATTACACAGAGGTAGACAGAAATCACTGTGAGTGGAGTGAAGGCTCCCTCTTCCTGTTGCAGCTCACAGAGCCCCTGAAATTCAGTTCGTGTGGGGCAAGGGACCCTCAGTGAAGAGCATGGGAGGGGGGCAAAGCAAGGATCTGAACGGGGGGGGGATGGAAAAAAATGTGCCCCCTCACCATCTGCCATACCATTATGTCAGCAGAAGAGCACCTTTGGATCCAGTGCTTATTACACATTGTATAAATTATGCCTCAGATTGCATCTATGAAAGCTGCCATGTGTACCTTTGGTTGGAGAGGGAACTGTTTGTACCACCTTGTGGTAGCTTAGGGTTTCCAAGTCCTTTTTCTTCCGCGGCGGGGGGCTCCCAGACGGTGTCTTGACCATAGAGTTTTCCCCTCAGATGGCTGTGGCCCTGCCCCAGCGTGCCCGGCGTCATCACATCACCTCCGGCTGACGTGCACGCCGGGGTGGGGTTTCCCCCGAGGCCCGATTCTGCGGCGGCGGAAATTGGGCCTCCAAAGCGGGGGGAAATCCGCCCCCGGGGGGACTTGGCAGCCCTATGGTAGCTAAAGAGACTCAATCTACATGTTCAATAGTATTCATTTGTTTAACTGTTATTTAGAGCATGTCATAGTTAAGTGCAGTGCTATGCTTGTTGAGTACGTACATGAAATTTCCACTAGCGCTGAAAAGCTGAGAAAGGACTAACTGGAAATGCTTTCTCAACATTCCTTGTGTTGTGCTAGGGCGGACAAAATTGCTGTGGGAGATTTGAAATTGGACAAACAAAGCTTTATGAGGCTTCCTAAAATTTCACTTTGTGTTTCTCATTGCTAAGTGTTCAGCAATCTCGCTGAATTGGATTAATATTCAGATTATGCTCTTTTCAGAATGAGGATTGGGGAGCGATTATGGCAAATCAGTAATCTGGTTCTTCAAAATTGTTCTCTAAAGCTGTAATCCTTTGTGGACTTTTTTTGAGAGTAGGCCTCTTGGGACAAAGGTCTGAGTAAACATATATGTGAGGAAATTGTTCATTTTATCTCCTATTAAGAATCTTAATAATATGTCCATTGCCTAATATTGCATGAAATGATTTGTTTTTACTAGTTGTAATTCTGCTGTGACCTGGAAAGGCCAGTAGCCTGCTCTCATCAGATCTTGGAAGCTAAGCAGGGTCAGACCTGGTTAGTATTTGGATGGGAGACCACCCAAGGAAAACCTGGGTCTCTGTGTAGAGGCAGGCAGTGGCAAACCACCTCTGAACATCTCTGGCCTTGAAAACCCTATGGATCTCCATACGTCAGCTGCGACTTGGTGACAAAAATAAACAAAAACATCCTGGTCTTGGTTCTAAATTAATAAATAATTTTTTTCATTTAAGATTTAGATAGAAAGCTGAGCTTGAAGATCTTCACCATAAGCAATATTCACATAAAAATAGGCCTTTTCATTGATTTGCTAGTGTTTTCCCTTTTAGGGTATTGGGGGGGGGGCACCCATTTATTGCTGAAGAATGCAAACAGTCATTTCTCTCTGGTTGTGCTGATTGGTTCTCTATGTCAATTTATTTTTTTACATACAGTGAAGAGCTAGGAGAATTCATGGAAATGAAAGGAGCCAACAGTCCTGGGATACTTGTATTGACCACGGGCCTGAGCAAACCGTTTATGCGCCTGGATAAATATCCCACCTTACTCAAAGAGCTTGAAAGACACATGGAGGTATATCTTAGCAGCATTTATGTTCCAGCTTAATGATGATTTGGCAACAAATTATCTTAAAGGTACATTTGGAAGATGACGGTCCCAAATTACGCTACTTTTTCTCTCATTCTTCTGGTGTAAGAGAAAGCTGGAGTCCAATAAATTTCCGAGTTGTCAAAAAAGTAATATGTGCTGATCTTGAACCCATGATTGCTCCAACCTCTATACCTGTTGACAGCCCTGTTATACAGTTAATATTAGTGTTGATGGGCCTTACTTCAAACCATGGGGAACCACCATTAGATTTCTCACAGTATGTGGTATACCTTCTGTAGGTACTGTTTATGCTGTTTGAGAAATGCACAGCTGGGTTGAAAAGAGGAGAACAAGAAGCCCCTGTTGCATACGCGCTTCTCATTGCTTGTCCTTCTGGTTCAGAATGTTAAGCTACCACCCATGTAGAACAAAACAAGCTTTTGGAGTATGATTTTTGTTGTTGTTGCCATTTGGACATAACTTCCCAGTGGGCTTTCCCGGTATTTTCTTACTTAGGTATCTCTGAACTCTGGGTATGAATTTTACTGCAGAATTTATTTGCAGAAGAGATAATTTGTCTGATTTGTAGACCCGGTCCTTGCTGTCAAAATAATACAGTATCTTTGGTTTAACAATGCTTGCTAATGTACAGCTGGGCTGAAATCTTAGTTTTAATTTTAAATCCTAATGAGTACTGTTGTTCTCAGTTTCAGGGGTTACATTTCAGTAGCTTTAGAGCTGGAGCAGAAATTTGTCTGAGATTTCCATTTCTGTTAATATTGCCAGTTCTAGAGTTTTTGTACTAGGAAATTGCATTCCATACAGGAGGGGTGGGAGAAATGCTCATAAATTTGCACCTGTCGAGAGAGGAATTTGTGGGAATAGAGCCCTTTAAAAAATGTTTCCTGCAGCATGGCTTAGCACATATATACGATTGTTATTTAAAGTATTGTCACTGTGAGAAATGTGTCTCAGCTGTTTAAAGCAGTGTTCCAGAGTAGTGTTTTTCGTTCAGTGGTATAACGTATGCTTTTCATGCAGTAGGTTGCAGGCTGATACATTGGCTTTGCCAGTTAAACCATCCCAGATAGCAAGCTTGGCAAAGACCTTTATCTACCCAAGAACCAGTCAAATTAGCTAGTGCTGAACAAGATGGAGCCAGTGGTCTAGCAGCTTCATATGACCAGTTCATGCTCAAAAGTACGACACCATTATTAGTACTGTATCAATGTGATACAGCAGGAAAGGATATAGAAGGAGAAATGAAATGGAGGGCAGAAGAGTGCTTTCATACTGCCATCAACAGAAATTGCAAACTAATTTTCCTTTTTAATTTTTTTTTTTAGGATTACCATCCGGATCGGCCTGACATTCAGAAGTCTATGACAGCCTTCAAAAATCTTTCTGTAAGTAATAAGACATATTGTAGGCTAAAGAGGGTATGATGTTAACATTGATTTAAGTGGCTTGATTTTAAATTGGAATCCTTCCTTGTAGAGTATAGCACTAGCAAGTGCTTTTCATGCAGTCACCTTCACATTTAAATCAGGCCTTAACCTTCCTTGCTTAAATTCAACTAGTTTCAAAGGCAAACCAGTTCTGGAAACTTCTCTAGGGTTGCGTGGATTTGTGTTCTAAGCTAGTTGAGAGTATTTTCTGTTCTGTTTTTTTCTCATGGTAGTGAGATACAGAACTTTTCTTGTCTTTGGTGTCTTTTGGTTGGAATATGGGAAATGTAGCTTTAGCCTGTTTCACACATGAACGTTTTCCTAGGTGTGAATTAGTTCTTGAGTGAGAATCTGCAGAAGGGCGTTCACTGAAGGCAGAGATGCTGAGACCTGCCCCAGGCCCTCAAACAGAAAGACCCCTCTGGCTCCCCTCAGACTCCAATCACATGAACATAAATCACGTGATTGGCCCCATTTTGTGCCTCCCCTCGGTGTCCCAGAATTCTGTTTCCAGAATCCCCCCCTCCCGTCAGCAACCCTTGAAAGAAAATATATATTGGATAGTATATGACATATTTAGGTTGTTAGAGAGAAAAAAGCAAAACCTCAAGTTGGTTTTTGAGAAAGCTGTCATTGAATGAGGTTTAAAACAATGAGTTACGTGTTAGATTGGCACAATCCTTGTAATTTATAAGGCAGATTCCAGGGGATCCCCTACTCCAGCAGATTTTGTCCTTGTAAGAAGGACTGTGTTGAAACTGTCCCCCATGTTCTCCTTCAGTGTCCCTTTTATCTGGTGCCCCGCCAGGATCTTCTGTATCCTATATTAGCTCAATTCTCAGAGATTCCTGATGATTTTAAGGTTCTGTTTTTGCTTGATAATCAAGATACGGAAATAATCGAAATAGTAGCAAGGTTTCTTCTTAGTGCTATGGCTATACGTTCTGATAAGCAACCATTAAGTTTTGCTGCTTTCATGCTGTTTTTATGCACCGTAGCTCCAATTTTACCCTATATGGATTTGTATTTTCCGATCTATATTTAATCTGATCTCCTATTGTATGTGTATACGTATGCCAATAAAGGCTTGTCCAATGTCAAATGCAAATGTAATTGATAAATATTAATTCAGGTCAGTCACCTATAGCAGATGCAAAGTGCCCATAGAATAATTCCATAGACTTGGCTACAAATCTACAATCTAATTTGTTTCTTCATTTATACCAGCAAGCTTCCGTGGTAGAAGTGGGATTCAAACCTGTATCCCAGTCCAACCCTGCAACTGCTACACCACACTGGCTCTCTAAGATTGACCTAATACATCAGGACAGTAAAGGAGCAAGCAATGAAGGAAATGTTTAAAAAAAGGGAAGCAAAGGAAAATTACTTGGTATATATTCTAGAGTGGGGTGTCAAACTTGTGAAAAAAGGAAATATGAGGAGCATATAGCAAAAAATGTAAAGACCAACAATAAAACTTTTCAAATACATTAGAAGCAGGAAACCAGCCAGGGAGGCAGTGGGGCCCTTGGATGACCAAGGGGTAAAAGGAGTACTGAAGGATGATAGGGAAATGGCTGAGAAGCTAAATGCATTTTTTGCCTCCGTCTTCACTTTGGAAGATGAGAGGTGCTTGCCCACTCCAGAACCGCTGAGTTCGGGAGGGGTGTTGAAAGACCTGAGTCAGATTGAGGTGACGAAAGAGGAGGTCCTAAAACTGATAGACAACTTAAAAACGGATAAATCACCAGGCCCAGATGGCATACATCCGAGAGTTCTGAAAGAACTCAATTGTGAACTTGTGGATCTCCTGACAAAAATATGTAATCTTTCCTTAAAATCAGCCTCCATTCCTGAGGACTGGAAGGTAGCTAATGTCACTCCCATCTTTAAAAAGGGTTCCAGAGGAGATCCGGGAAATTACAGGCCAGTCAGTCTGACGTCGATACCGGGTAAATTGGTGGAAACCATTATTAAGGAAAGAATTAGTAGGCACATAGATGAACAAAACCTATTGAGGCAGACTCAACATGGGTTCTGTAAGGGAAGATCTTGTCTCACTAACCTGTTAATGTTCTTTGAGGGGGTGAACAAACATGTGGACAAGGGGGATCCAATAGATATTGTTTACCTTGACTTCCAGAAAGCTTTTGATAAAGTTCCTCATCAAAGGCTCCTAAGTAAGCTCAAAAATCATGGGATAAAAGGACAAGTCCTTTTATGGATCAAAAACTGGCTAATTAATAGAAAACAGAGAGTGAGTATAAATGGGCAGTTCTCCCAGTGGAGGGGTGTAAGCAGTGGGGTACCACAGGGATCAGTACTTGGTCCACTGCTTTTTAACTTGTTCATTAATGATTTGGAGATGGGAGTAAGCAGTGAAGTGGCTAAATTTGCGGATGATACAAAGTTGTTCGGGGTGGTGAAAACCAGTGAGGATTGTGAGGCACTCCAAAGGGATCTGTCAAAGTTGGGCGAGTGGGCGTCAACATGGCAAATGGGGTTCAATGTGGCCAAGTGCAAGGTGATGCACATTGGAGCCAAAAATCCTAACTATAAATACACGTTGATGGGGTCTGAACTGGCAGAGACTGATCAAGAGAGAGATCTTGGAGTTGTAGTAGATAACTCACTGAAAATGTCGAGACAGTGTGTGACTGCAATAAAGAAGGCCAATGCTATGCTGGGGATTATTAGGAAGGGTATTGTAAACAGATCAGCCAATATCATAATGCCGCTATATAAATCAATGGTGCGACCTCATTTGGAATACTGTGTGCAGTTCTGGTCACCACACCTTAAAAAGGATATTATAGCTTTGGAAAAAGTGCAGAAAAGGGCAACTCGAATGATAAAGGGGTTGGAACACTTTCCCTATGAGGAACGGTTAAGGCGCTTAGGGCTCTTTAGCTTGGAGAAACAACGACTGAGGGGTGACATGATTGTGGTTTATAAGATTATGCATGGGAAAGAGCAGGTAGAGAAAGAGGTACTTTTCTCCCTTTCTCCCAATACAAGAACTCGTGGGCACTCCATGAAATTGCTGAGCGGTCGGGTTAGAACGGATAAAAGGAAGTACTTCTTCACCCAAAGAGTGATTAATACTTGGAATTCACTGCCACAGGAAGTGGTGGCGGCTACAAGCATGGACGGCTTCAAAAGGGAATTAGATAAGCATATGGAGCAGAGGTCCAGCAGAGGCTATTAGCCACAAGGTATAGATAGGGACTCTGGGGCAAGTGATGCTCTGTCATCTTGGTGCTTGAAGGGGGTCAGCAGTGGGATGGCTTCTAATGTCCTGGCCCCACTGGTGGACCTCCTGATGGCACTGGTATTTCTGGTCACTGTGTGATACAGAGTGTTGGACTGGATGGGCCTTTGGCCTGATCCAACATTGGCATCTCTTATGTTCTTATGGACTGTGGGCTGGATCGGGCCCTCAGAGGCCCCCAATCAGGCCCACAAGGCCCTGGCTGTTTCCTGCTTCCATTTGCAGTTCTGCTTCCGCCGCCATGTTACAGCTTGCATTAATAATAAAAAATAATAATAATGCTTTCGATTTATTAATCGCTTTCCCCACAAGTGGGCTCAAAGTGATTTACAGTTACTCTTTAGACAGGGGACTAACAATGTTTTTCATAGGGGATAGGGAAGACAACATAGAATTCATTTAAGTTGTACACGCCGTACTGCCCAGTGGAAACGTTTCTGGCTTGACTCAGTCATGTTCCAACAGCTGCATCGCCACACTGCCACCGCCTGGCCGGAGCATCCCACTGCAGGGATTTTCTTAGCTGAGTAGATTCTTCCACCTTCCGGGTCCAGACCAGGACGTCTCCAACCGAGAGCTAACACCTTCCCAGAAGGGAGTCGGTGTGCCCACCCTCTCTAAGGAGTGGTTCCCATTTTATCTACTCGCCGAGGCTTTCGAATCGCTGGGTGGACGATGAGCTGGGGACGACAGGCTGGCTGCTCATACCAGCGCGGGGGATCGAACTGACACAGTTCGGATGTTAAGACAGTGGGATATACCCACTGTGCCACCGCTCCCCTTACCAGTCCCCTTACCAGACAAGCCTCTCCTGTACGATTGAGAGAGTCTGGTAAAGAACTGGCTGAGGCTCCTCCCTCTCCTCCTCCCAGGGGGAGGGAGGGAACAGCCAGAGCTTGCTTCCTGGCCAGGCTGCAGGAGTCAAAGGGAAGCCGTTCTTTCCTTCCACTGGCTGAGTCTCCTCCCTGAAGGGAGGGAGGGAATGAGGGAGAGCTTGCTTTGCTGGGCTGCCTCAGTTGCATCTCCTCTACATGGCATTACATTTTATGGCCCAACAAGGTCTCATTTATGTCAGATCCGGCCCTCAAAACAAATGAGTTCGACACCTCTGTTCTAGAGCAAATGTCACATACCAGGATTTTTCTGCTTGGGCCTCAAGAAGTGACCTTTAGAACAGAAATTGCCCCACACCTGTTCTTTTTTCAAAATTATTTGTTAATTTTTCAAGAGCCGCTATATTCCTTAATTTAGTACACCACCTGTCCAAAGAAACCCCTTCAGCATTCTTCCAACATTGGGCAATGAGCAATCTTGCTGCAACTGAAAGAATAATAATTATTTTTTGTTTACACTGCAAATTTTCATTAATAAATAAATTGAGCAGGGCTATATAGCCCCACACTTGTTAAGTAAGTGTATTGTCACTGTGCTTGTTCGCCATCTCCCGTGCAACCTGTAAGCTGGTTGGAATGTAGTTGTCTGTAGGGTCCAGGTTACGGCTGTTTCTGTGAGAAGCAGAACCTGTTAACAGGTGTATTAAAAGAAAATGGAAATCACGTGGCACTGCAGACGTAGTACTGAATAACTTCTGGCTGATTCACTTGTGCTTGTGCACTGTGTGATGGTATTTCCTCCTTGCCCAACAGGCACAATGTCAAGAAGTGCGAAAAAGAAAGGAACTTGAACTCCAGATACTAACAGAAGCCATCCGCTGCTGGGAAGGAGAGGACATTAAGACACTGGGAACAGTTATTTACATGTCACAGGTCATGATACAGTGTGCTGGTAGTGAGGTAATACCGGTTTGCTTTTCCAGCCTTGCCATGTATGCAGAGCTACTCTTCAGTGTTCTCTGTTCTTTGCTTTTTTTTGGTCTTGTTTATGAAACAGAAATGTTAGGGATGGATGAAACCTGCCAAAAGATTCCCCCAAAGCAATATTTGCAAATGTTTGAACGTTTTGTTCCTGGGTTTTTTTGCAAGAGCCTTATCAGGACACTGTTAAAGTACAGTGTAGTGTCTACTCATGCATTATGGGGACAAGACGGGGCAGCTTCTCTTTCCCAAGCCACCTCCCCGTTTCTGTTGTTTTGCCATGCATATAAAATATTTTAGGATAGAATTCTTATAGACCTTGCAGCTCCGCTTCAAAACGAATCCAGAGCAGCTGGTCTTTTTGATTTGAAAAATGCTCACGATTGCCAGAATTAAAAAGAAGGGACAACATTTGTGACCACAGCATGCCATGTGAATTTTTAACTTGCTTTGTCACGTGATTTAAATATGTTGTATTATTTCCCTCTCTCTTTTTATAAGGAAAAGAATGAGCGATACCTTCTTCTGTTTCCAAACACTTTGCTCATGTTGTCTGCCAGCCCTAGAATGAGTGGGTTTATCTATCAGGTAAAAAGGATTTTAATTTAATTTGGGTCTCTGTAGCTTCCTTTAAACTATCTTCTGCTCTTGAGATGTTCCTATAAATCCTGCAAAAGCTTTAATTGAACCTTTATGGCAGCTGGGTGTGTAAGCGTTTCAGAATCGTAACAGTGGCAACATCTGTACAATACAAGGCATATTGAACACCAAGGGCTATATTGCAAAGTGTATATAAATGTGTGTGTGTGTGTATGTATTTGTGTGTGTGTGTGTGTGTATACACCCACTGTCAGCTAATGCTGCTATGGTCTGGAATGTGTGGGGTGCCAGCTCCCTTTCCTCCTCTTCACTCTCCCTTCCCCCGCGTCTCATCTGCTGGGCTCTGTTATCTGCTTGGCATTCAGGTTTCGTGGAGTGCGAAGCACGTCTAAGTTCTTATGATCAGTCCATACCTCGAAAGGTACCCTAGCTCCCTCCAGCCAATGTCTCCAGGTGGTTAATGCCAACCGAATAGCCCCCGCCTCCTTGTCCCACACTGACCAGTTTTCTTTTCCTTGAAGTAACATTAAGTTTATCCAATTCAGCAACTTCTAACAGTTTCTTAGCTAGTTAATCTCTTAAGAGTATTTTTTTCAGATTTCCAATATTTAGCTACTAGTATTCTAACTAGGGATTATATTCAACAAATAAATTTCTGGTAACAGTTTTAAGTTAATATTCATTATTTCTATTATTATCTTGTTAACATATTGCCTATATTTTTCCACATCACCACATGTGGAAAAAAGTACCTATATTGGATTTGCATCTCCAACAGTTCTTAGATACTGATTTATAACCTTTAGCAATTCTATCTGGCGACCTATACCATCTATGGAATAGTTTGTATATATTTTCTTTAAATGAGGTTGCTCTCAGTAACTTCACTGTCTTCCATATTTTAAGCCAATCATCTAACTGGATATTATACCCTGTGTCTTGCATCCAAGCTATCATTGAGGTTTTTATTATTTCATCTTGCATATAGTCTTCTATGAGAAAATTGTAGATTTTTTGTATCAATTTTGTCCAGATCTGATTTTGTCGTGTGAAAGCCAATTATTTTATCTTTACTATATTTTGATTGTAATTGTGTACTTTCCCACCAGGTAAGGTTTATATTATTCCGTTTTAGATTTTCTACCGTTCTTAGATTATTAGATTCATCTAGTAAAGTATCTATTGATTCTCTTTTTTTCTGTCATAAGTGTTGGTTTTATGAATGCTTCTAATAGAGACACCCATTTGGGGATTTTTGTATAGTATTTTTCTTTTATTCTTTTCCCGACTTTTATTAATGTTCCTCTAATTGATGAAAATTTGCATTTATTTTATCTTTCTCATACCAGATGTAAGCATGCCAACCCATACATAAATCATGGCCTTCTAAGTGTAAAGTTAATGATAATTTTATTTATGACTTCTGTTTTTGTGGTATCTTGGATTTTGTTTATTACTTTGTGTGTAGTTTTTTGTTAATATTTTAGTCTTTTAAAAATTTATTTTAAGACCTGCAACCAATCCATAATCTTGTATTACTTCCAGAAGCTGGGAAGTTGTTGTTAATGGTTCTTCTAGTATGAAAACTAAACCCATCAGCGAAAGCTTGTAGTTTATATTCTTCACCTTTTACTTTTAGGCCTCTTATTTTGTTATTTTGTCTTATATTATCATTCAAAGTTTCTAAAGTAGAAATGAATAATAACGGGGACAGTGGGCATCCTTGTCTCGTTCCTTTCTGGATCTCAATATTTTTTGACATATCACCGTTGATTATTATAGTAGCCTGTTGCTTCTTGTAAATAGCTGAGATCATTGACAAAAAATTACTTCCACAATCCCACATCTCTAGTTTTAGTCTTAGAAACTCCCAGGATACATTATCGAATGCTTTTTCTGCATCTAAGAAGAGTAATGCCAACTGTTTCTCCAGATGAGCCTCATAGTATTCCAAAGCATTAAGAATAGTTCTTATATTATTTTTTATCTGCCTCTTTGGGAGAAATCCTGCTTGGTCTTGGTGGATAAGTTGCTGTAATACTTTTTTGAGTCTTGTTGCCAATATATTTGCAAAAATTTTATAATCTGTGTTTAATAAAGAGATGAGTCTATAGTTTTGGATTTCTTTTTCATCTGAGTCTGGTTTATGTATTAGGGTTATGAGCGCTTCATTCCAAGAATCGGGTAATATTCAATTTTTTATAATATTTTGAAGTACTTCTTTAAAAGGAAATAATATTTGCTCTTCAAATTTTTGATAAATTTCTGCTGGTAAACCATCTGGGCCTGGTGTTTTCTTCTTTTACTGATTCTGGATTCCTTCTATAATTTATATGGTGAAATTGGATCATTCAAAAGTTTCCTCTGTGAGTCGTTAAATTTCTTTTTGTTAAGTAGTTTTAGATATTCTTTTATTTGTTGCGGCTCTTGTAGTTTTTGTTGATATAGATTTTTATAAAAGATTTTCACAATCTCTTTTATGTCTTTAGTTCTGTATTTTATCTCTCTTTTAGGGCCAAAATTACTCGTTTTTCTCTCTCTTTCCTAAGTTTGTATGCCAACCATCTAGTGGGTTTATTGGCATTTTCAAAGTAATATTGTTTTGTATATTCTATGTTTTTGACTATTCTTGCATTGATAAGATGCGTATTTGATGCTGCAACATTTTTATTTTCAATTTTATTTAATCTACCTTTGTAGTTTTCTTCATCTTATCTTCTTCTATCTTTATTTTTTCTTCTAGCTTATCAATTTTTTTCCCTTTTTTGTTTCTTTTTCTAGGCATCTTGATTGATGAACCATCCTCTCAAGAATGTTTTAAATGCATCCCATATAGTGTTAATTGAGGTTTCTTCTTGTATAATTCTTTTAAAAAATTCTTGTATTTCAGTATTAGTTTTTGATATGAATTCTTTGTCTCTTAGAAGTCCTATATTCATCTTCCATCTTGTCGTTCTTTGTACCGTATATACTCGAGTATAAGCCGACCTGAGTATAAGCCGAGACTCCTAATTTTACCACAAAAAACTGGGAAAAAGTATTGACTCGAGTATAAGCCTAGGGTGGGAAATGCGAAATGCAGCAGCTACTGGTAAATTTCAGAAATAATAGATACCAATTTTCCGTGCCCAGTACGGCACGGAAAAGGCGCGGAGGAGGACGTCCGCCTCGGTCTCCTCTCTCTGACGTCACTGGTTGCTAGACGCCAATCAGCAGGCGATCTAGCAACCAGTGGAGGCGGGGCGGGCAGCGGCGGCTTCTAGTGTTCTGCTGAGCGGAGGAGTTCTTTTAACTCCGCTGTTATTATTGGCACGTCAGTCTCCGCTCTCCTCTCTCTTACGTCACTGGTTGCTAGACGCCAGTCGGGAGGCGATCTAGCAACCAGTTTAGGTGGGCGGGCTGCAGTGACTAGATCAGTTTAGGCAGGCGGGCTGCAGTGACTACAGGCTGATATCTGGCTGCGGAGCGGCGGCATTTTCTGGGGTCATTTTTTTTTCTCACTCGAGTATAAGCCGAGGGGGTGCTTTTTCAGCACAAAAAATGTGCTGAAAAAGTCGGCTTATACTCGAGTATATACGGTATTTCATGGAAAGTCAGTAATAACGAATTGTGATCTGCATAAGTATTTGTTAGTATTTCTGCTTCATTTAATTCTTTTATCATTGAAGTAGATATCGACGCCATATCAATTCTTGACCAAGAGTTATGTCTGAAGGAGTAATAGGCATAGTCTTTTTTACCTATGTTTCTAGTCCTCCAGGCATCTACCATACTATATTCTTCTGCTAATTTTAGAAAAAAAATTGGTAACAGGAGACCTGATTTTGTATTATTTTTCTGTTTTTTCCTATCTATTTTGGGATCAAATACCGCATTCTAGTCTCCAATTATACATATATCTTCAAAGTTTTTAATTGTTAGTATGTTTTTAATTTCTATAAAGAATTTTTCTTGGTTTTTATTTGGTGCGAATATATTTATAATTAATGATTTCCCCCTGTTTCTCATAATTGTATTAGCTATGATTCTTCCATCCTCTGATCTGTTGTTGAGTGTTTTGACTGGGAAGCCTCACACACACACACACACACACCCTTTGTGAAATGGGTACTGAGTGTAGGCTGGGTGATAGCCAGCAAGCGCACAGCCACAGAACAACCAACAGGAACCCTAAAACTAAAGTGCTGTCTTGTACACTTTGGGCGGGGAGAGGCCCCTCCCTAGCCCTTGAAGAACTAAACCTAAACATGTTGCCTCGGATGGTGCATCAAGTAAAGGAATGCAATTAGATGTTATAGGGAGGGGAAGAAAACATGGGGCAGACCCAAAGAATGCTTATGACCTTTATGCCACCAGTGGTTGGGACATATTTGCATCAGTTATGAATGTCCTGGCCAAGGGTATTTTCCCAGGTCTGTTGTGCTTAGAAAATGGAATACATCCTTAGCCAAAGCACATGGGTGCAAATGGCATGTAAAAAAATCACAGAGAGGCTGGTCCTCCCTCTGGTTAGAGGCCTTCCTTTTATGCCCCCCTCTGAATTGCTCTGGGCTGCTACCATCTTGCCTCTCAGTTTTTGTGGATACGGGTTTGTGTTTTTGACACCTCCCTTGTTATTGAAAGAAAAGGATTTTTTTGGCTACAAACCATGTATCACCGTACCAGGGGAAACAGAATTGTGGTGCATGTATTGCATTTATATAAATGAATCGACCCATCTTTTCCCAAGGAGTCTGTATAACACATCAGCCTTTAGGAAAGGATTAGGTTAAAATTCGCAAGAACAGGAGAGCCAGTGTTTAAAAATAAAAGGGAAACACAAAAACACACTTTTTAAAAAGTTATGTAGATTAATATTTATAAAAACTCCAAAGCTGGTCATCAGCCTGAAAACAATCCGTTCTTTTTTGGTGGTGTTTTCATTTGCCTGAACATCTTGATATGTATGCTTTTAGGGGAAACTACCACTGACGGGGATGACCATCACAAAGCTAGAAGACAGTGAAAATCACAGAAACGCATTTGAAATATCAGGTAACACCCACTTGCATTCCTGTTGAAGTGATCCTGTTTATCATGCTCTGTTTATTAGTCACTTTTAAATGGATACCCTGTTTGGCTTTGAATAAGAGCTTCTGGCAGGCTACCCTATTCAAAGTTCCAGTAGACAGTCTATCAGTATTTGTGTATTATTTTCACTGGTTTTAATCAGCACACAGCACCAGCTTAAAGCTTGGTAGCTACATCCTACATCAGGGGAACCCAACCTTTTCAAGCCTGTGGGCACCTTTGGAATTCTTACACAGGGTGGTGTACACAAGGACAAAATGGCTGCCACGGAAGGCAGAGCTACACACACAGAGGAAGTCCAAAAGAGGATACTTTAGAAATACAGCGGGAGAGAGGTGTGGGAAAGAATAAAAGCAACACTGTGGGGGCAGCTCGCACTGAAGCAATGTTATTTTAATTTGTACAACCAGCCAGATCTCTAGGGGCCAATCAGAAGCCTTGCTGGGCAAGAGCCCCACACGGCCACACACACTTTCTAAAAACACTTTGTGGGCACCAGGAAGAGTGTGGGCGAGCACCATGGTACCCACGGCCAATGTTCCCTCTAAGCCGTGGAGTCTTGTGAGCAAAAATTCTACTTTGTGAGCTAATGGCATTAAAGTTGTGAGCGAGTGATTTGGCTACTACATAAATTAGTTTCCTCTAGAGCCATCCTTCCTGAGCTGAGACAAAAAACGTGTGAGCTGGAGGCTAAAAAATGGTGAGCTAGCTCACACTAACTCAGCTTAGAGGGAACACTGCCCACGGCCACCACAGTTTGAGAGCCAGTTTGGTGTCATGGTTAAGAGCAGCGGACTCTGATCTGGAGAACCAGGTTTGATTCCCCACTCCTCCACATGCAGCCATCTGGGTGACCTTGGGTCAGTCACAGTTTTCTCAGAGCTGTTATCTCAAGAGCAGTTCTCTCAGAGCTCTCTCAGCCCCACCTACCTCACAGGGTGTCTGTTGTGGGGAGAGGAAGGAAAGGTGATCATAAGCCGCTCTGAGACTCTGACTGAAGGGTGGGGTATAAATCCAATTCTTCTTCTTGTCCTACATCAACTGCACTAGCAAGTCAAGCAGCCGTCTGATGTTCTGCACTCATGCTCTAATGAATGATGGCACTTCTCTGCAATGTGGCCATCATCTTGTAGGCGTAGTTGTGTTTAATAGGGAAAGAAACTCTCAGGATTGTGCAGTTTAACTTGTTGGTTTCCCACAGATTCTATCATCAGTTTCCTAGAAAAGAAATGTTACTGAAAAGGTGTAGGTGGACCAAAGTAGTGCAAACAGAGCTCCAAAGCCAGGGACTCAAAAGCACAATTCTTAACTAGAAGTTCACTATTATTACCAGATACTGATAGTCAGATCTGAAGTAGAAGGTTGTGGAAGAGTGCTGATCAGTTAAGAAGCATAATTTGTCTTTCTGGGGAACACAAATGGTATTAGCATATTGTGTGTTGCTTGTGAAAGAATTCTTAAATGGGATCACATTTTCTTCTTTCCTCCTGGGTTTTGTGCTTGCCTCTAGGAAATATGATTGAACGAATATTAGTATCCTGTAACAACCAACAAGATCTGCATGAATGGGTGGACCATCTGCAGAAGCAAACCAAAGTAACAACTATTGGGACTCCCACTATTAAACCTCATTCTGTGCCATCTCACACGGTAAGGGACCACCTGGCTTTAGTCCTGTTGGATTAAAGCAAGCACAATATGGTGTGTGCATTTGAGGAACAGCTGTTGATGTTATAAATAAGTCTATTGTATCATGCAGTCTGTTGATTTCACGGTAAAAGATTTCCAGCATGTTTGGTTTTGTGCTGTAGTGTGTGAAAATCCAGAAATATCAGCTGAACTGTCATGTAATATAGCAACATGTTTCTAGCCAACTGTTGACTTAACGGAGTGGGGCTTTACCCCTTCTGCTGCAAACCACTGGGCCCCCCAGTTTTGCTCTTGGGGTATCAGTGAGCTCTTAGGATCCGTATGGGGGGTAACTTGTGTGCGTGGGGGGCTGCAGTGAGAAGGAGGAAATGGCTGTCCCCTCTTCTGCGAACAGAACCATGTAACTGTATACATGCTAATATATTTCTAAGTTTGGGTCTGAACTGAATGCTTTCTAGTTTCATTGCTTGGGTCAAAAATATGTTTATGGGGTAGAAAACCAGACTTATGCAATGAGTGGGATGATGCTGCATTGTTACGTAGCTAGTCAAGTTTTGCTACATGGTCATGTCACTGAGGGCAAGTAAAAATAATTGAGAATGAGACTGCCACTGATTGGCAGTAAAGATAAACAGGAGTGCTGAGGTATGGTTCTCTCCCCTGCCCATGGCAATTTTCTGCACTGTTGAAAAGGTTTGTGAAAAGATTTGTGAACATGTTTTCATATCAGCTCAGCTCTATTGATGCTGCATCGTCTGATATGAAGAACTGACTTTCCATAGAACTAGTTAAATAACTGAGATTAAGTCTGAAGCTGTCTTGGACCACATGTCCTTGGAAGCTGGTAGAATCTCTTCTGCATTTCTGCTGCATATGATCCTTGCGGCAATTGGAAGAAAAAGAGGGCTTTCCTTATACTGCCTTTTCTTTCCGCTTCTCTAAATCTGGAGGGCAAAGCAATATGTGGCACATGTTGTTACCCCAAGGGTGGAAATATTTGTATAGAAAGTGCCTTCACTCGACAAAGGGCTCAAGTGGACAGTAGAAATTTAACAGGCAGATTCATATCCTGGCAGAGCAGAGTGGTAGATCATGCCTCCGTCGGATCAGTCACATGCTGCCCTGGTGATGTCTGAACAGGAATGTGGACCAGGAAAATGACACAGCTTACTGTCAAGCTAGCATTACCCTCCTATTAAGGGGGGTATCATTGTCATGGGAACTAGCTATGACATTTCCCTGAGCCACAGGGATCCTCTTGACAGATGCAATGGGTGTAGCTTGGGATATTATGGAAGCACAGCAGATGGGTAATGTATGAATTGGTCGGATCAAGTGCAAAAGCATTGGCTCATAGGAAGTAAAACTAGAAAAATTGGTCGTGTTTGCTCCCCGCCCAGCTTCTTGCTATTAGGAAGTTAAGACAAACTTTTACTGATTTCCCCCCCCCTTCCACTCCCTCCTGTGGGGGACCTCTGATTGCCCCCTCCTCAGCAATTCCTGGACTGCCTTGGGAGGAAGGAATCAGTGAAATCGCACCTCTTCCTTTGCGCCTGCAGAAATTCTAGACAGGATCCAAGCCTACTGTTGACAAACGTGTTTAACAGGTTTAAGCTTTGCCCCAGGCTGTGTAACAAAGTAGTGATGATAATGTTGATGGCTAACTGGCATAATCTTGTATACAACTGTCATTTTTCTGTCATATTTTTCCTTTTTCTGTAAATCGTTCCTTACTTGGCAGCTTCCTTCTCATCCTGTAACACCGTCCAGCAAACACTCAGATAGCAAGCAAATACCGCTGACTCCAGTATACCACACTCTTCCACACCCTTCACATCACGGGACGCCTCACACCACTATAAACTGGGGACCCCTGGAGCCTCCTAAAACCCCTAAGCCGTGGAGTTTGAGCTGTTTGCGACCGGCACCACCACTGCGGCCTTCGGCAGCGCTGTGTTACAAAGAGGTGAGAATGAGCAGCCCTGTCAGAAATCTCAGTGCGTTCTGTGTTGTAACTGTGTCACCAATACAGAGTGTGGGCTACACCCTCAGTAAAGCATTTTAACTAGAGTTCACTTAGTGTTGAGCTGTCGGAATTAACAAAAGGAGATTATTTTTTTTAAAGCTAACGAATCATCATTATTTTAGTAGGCAGTACAGTGGTAATTAATTAGGAGCTGCGGTGGCTCTAGTGGTTAAGACGCTGAACTGCAGGCTGTGGAAGGTCGGTAGTTCAGCAGTTCGAGACCCGGGTGCAGCATGATGGAGTGAGCTCCCATCTCTAGTTCCAGCTCCTGCCAACCTAGCAGTTCGAAAGCAAGAAATTGCAAGTAGATAAATAGGTACCACTTCGGTGGGAAGGTAACAGCGTTCCATGCGCCTTGGTGTTTAGTCATGCCAGCCACATGACCACAGGAACATCTTCGGACAGCGCTGGCTCTTCGGCTTTGAAATTGAGATGAGCACCGCAAACCTAGAGTCGGATTCGACTGGCTTTCGAGCAAGGGAACCTTTACCTTTACTTTTTACAGTGGTAATTAATCAGGCTTTTAACTTCGATTATATATGCCTCTTCTCGTTGATCACCTTTATGATAAAGTGTTCAGAGCAGTGTTCCCTCTAAGCTGAGTTAGCGTGAGCTGGCTCACAGTTTTTCAGCCTCCGGCTCACACATTTCTGTCTTAGCTCAGGAAGGGAGGGCTCCAGAGCAAACTAATTTATGCAGTAGCCAAATTGCCCGCTCACAACTTTAATGCCAGTAGCTCACAAAGTAGAATTTCTGCTCACAGGTCTCCACAGCTTAAAGGGCGCATTGGTTCAGAGCACTGCATTGGGAATCCTTACCACATAAGGTGGGTTAGTGGGGCTGAGCCTGAGGGAGGTGTGATTTGCTTTGCCTAACTATATTCTTAAACGGCCTTTCATGAAGAGGCAAGATTTGAACCAGGGATTTTCACAGCTCAGCCTGTTTATTCATTAATTATTAGATTAGATTTTTAAACTGCCCTTCCCTGTGGAACAGGGCACAGGTCAGTGCGCAACAATAAAATGTACCTATATTAGTTAAACATAAAACAATAGGAATCCAGTAAAACACATTAAATAACCTAAAAGATGGCGTTAAGACTGTCGATGCTGCTGCTGCCCCGTGGGGGGGGGGGTAGGGAGGCAGGAAATCAGGGGCTCCGGACAGATGGGAAAAGCCATTGCTGCCCTCATCCAAAGGCCTGGCAGAACAGCTCTGCCTGACAGGCCCTGCAGAGTTGCATTAGATCCTGCAGGGTCCAGATGTTATCCAGCAGAGAGTTCCACCAGGTTGTGTTGTCAGTAGGAGTTGGGGAAAATAACTCCTTTGCAGTGGAGGGGTCTTTTCTTCAATGAACCTAAAGTGAAAGGGGTGTGGGGTTTTCCTGCTCCGGTTTTTCACTGCAGTCCCTGCAACTACTCAAAGACATACAATTGCTGATACAAGGAAGAGATTTACCTCTTTCCTTCTCCTCAATGTAATCCCCTGACCTGCACAGCTATCTATGCAGAGCCCAGGACCTCAGGAGCAGGGTTCCCTCTAAGTCTAAGGTGTGCTAACCAATTTCCAACCCCCAGTGCACAGATTTTCATCTCAGTGCAGGGGGGCAAGGAGTGGGTTTGGCGAAGGCACGCACTTAGAGGGTCTGTCCTATTAAAGTGCCTGCCTTCTCCAAGTCTGCTTTCTCCAAGCCTGCTTTCTCCAGTCTCAGGGCTTTCTTTCCCTTTCTTTCGATTTCTTTTTCTTTCTTTTTCTTTCCCTTTCCTTCCAGTTCTTTCTTTCCTTTTTCCCTTTCCCCCCTTTCTTTCTATTTCTTTCTCTCCCTTTTTCTATTTCTTTCCCTCGCTCCCATCCTTTCTATTTATTTTTTCCATTTCTTTCTTTTTTTTTCTTTCCATTTTGTTTCCCCCCTCTCCCTCTTTTCTTTCCCTTTCCATTTCTATCCATTTCCCCCTCTTCCCTTTCCATTTCCATCCATTTCTTTCTCTCACTTTCTCTCTATTTCTTTGTCTTTCTCTCTCTTTCTTTCCCTTTCTTTCTTTCCATTTCCAAACAGAAATTTATTAAAAAATAAATAAATTAGGCTCACTCACAACCTTTATGCTCATCGATTTTTTTTTGCTCTTGAAGTAGATTTTTTTCTCGCAAGAGTCTACAACTTAGAGGGAACATTGCCCAGGAGTAATCTTTCCATTGGTTGAAAGGGACTGCAGAGTGGGGGAGGGAGGACATGGAGAAAATTCACATCCCTTCTGTTGGCCATTTGTTAGATACAAGTAAGTATTTGTGAAGCAATGGCTAATGAGAAGATGACCATAATCTAGCCGGTATATTGGTTTGCAAGATAATCTTCAGCCAGTGGCCCACTTTAAATTGTTCGTAAGATATGTGTGTGGCTTTTCTTACGCAACAAAGCAGGTTCATTTATATGTATACTTTTTCCCCCCGCTGTCAAGTCACAGCCAACCTATGGGAACCCCATAGGGCTATCAAGTCAAGAGATGTTTAGAGGTGGTTTGCCATTGCCTGCCTCTTCATAGCAACCCTGAACTTACTTGGTGGTCTCCCATCCAGGTATTAAGTAGGGCTGACCCTGCTTGACTCCCGAGACCTGATACATGCGTGTGGCTTTCCTCTCTCAAGAAAGCAGGTTCATTTATATATCGTGTAATAAATTCCAGTGCAGCCAACCTTGGGTAGGCCTTTGCTGTTACGGATTTTTACAAGTAATTTTTGTTCAGCAACTTCTGCTTCTTGTTACTTCCTGACACGTCCTTTGACATTTGTTTTAAATGCATTTAATTAACAGCATCTTCTAAAAAAAAAAATGAAGACTACTCGTAAATGTGTTTCTGTTGCTCGCTTACCATTTTCTTTTCCTGCAGATTTTTGAGGTTATCTTTGTCTAGAGGCAGAGCTGCATGTCTTTGTAGTTCTGTAAAGTAGTTCAATTATTCAGTACAACTGAAGTGTTCTTTGTGGTGTTTGTGCATCTCACTGATTCAGAACATTCTAGGGTAGACTTTTAGGTAGGGGGGGGGAATCCTTCTCCCTTTTTGAGCTTACATAACATCGTGCATCTCAGAGGAAAAGGAGACACAATTTGCCATTCAGTTCTCTTTCAGCTGCAGCACCAAGTGGGAATGTTCTGCTCAAAGAACGCTCTCTGGGAAAAAATTACTACTACTCCCCCCCCCCCCCCCTAATTTCAGTATTTTATTTGTTTCTTTCCTTCTTTCTTTGGCTCTTTCCATCACTGGAATAAAAGTGTTTGAAGGAATTCTTTTTTAAATGTGGCTTTACAGTATACAACAGAATGGACTACATTCAGTACGTATCAGCAGTGTGAGGTACCTTTCATAAACATTTGTCCTGTGTTTGAGTTATCCTCTCAGTTCTGGGCATGATGACCGAGGCTCCTTACCTTCTGGGGGGGGCAGTTCCTGCTTCGTCAGCCATCAGTGAGTTACTCTCAAAGCTGTTGGCGAAGTCTCTTGACTTCAGTTGTGGCGTCCCTGATTCTTACCCTGACTCCAGGCCCCCCAGAATTATTGACCTCATCTGCGGAACTAGTTTACCTCAGGCCACAAAACCCAAAAGTTTTGGCCTCCACAAAATATAGAAGGAAAAGTACCAAATCAATCCCTGATCTAGTGATAAGGAAGGATGATTCCCTGTATTACAATCTCAGCAGTGACCCCAGCTTCGAAGAATGCCTGAACCACTGGGACAGGAGAAAGGGGCTCATCCTTTGGTGGATTGGGATCAGTCACCCGTTATATGGTTCATGACAACTTCTCACAGGATGTCCTTCACTCTTCCTCACCTCAAACGGAGCAATCATCTCTACCAATACCTTCTTTTCACCTGAAGGGAATATCTCATTGGTAGCAAGACTCATCCCTTTACTCGTTACAAACCTCCTTCTTGGTACCTATGAGAATGATCCTTGGGATTGATAGCGGTCGCCACTGTTGGGACTATAGGAGCAACATAGTGGGTAATGGAGCTCCTGCTCGACAGTGCCTTATTCTCCCCACAGTCAACTTTGATGCATCAATGTCACTATTTAGTATCAGTGGATCTCCTTCAACACTCAGTCTCTGGTACCCCCGCTCTATAGACTGGCCACTTGGAACCAGTCCTTGGGTCCAAGAGCTCCAGTGTCACTCTCTGCAGCTCCATTAGCTGTGGTGTCTGGAAACCTGTCTGCTTTGGCTCTACTGGTTGAGTCCGTAGCCATGGCTGCCTTGATACTGGCCATGTTATTGGTGCCAACTAAGCCTCATCTGCAACAGCCTCTGCTTGTCCCTCTGACTTCAAGCCAAATGGATCCTTCTTCTGTTTGGGTGACAGTTCAGCCATGACCTGCCGACTGCTGGGCCAGTGCAGTACCGCAGCTGTATCCGAGACTTAGATGAGAGATGTCGAGAAAAGTTGTATTTACTTATTTAGTACATTTCTATCCTGCCCTTTCTCCAAAGAGTTTAGGATGGCATACATCATTCTCCTCTCCATTTTATCCTTGTGTCATGTATGAGGTGAGCTAGGCTGAGCGAGAGTGACTGTCCACAGGTCAAGCGAGAAGCTCCTGTGGCAGAATGGGGATCTGAGCCTTGATCTTACAGCTCCAGGTCAGACATAGTAATCCACTGCCCTCTGAGCAAGTGTTGAGCCCATTGGTGTGACTGCACAGGTGACCACTCAAGAACATCATTTATAGGTAAGCAGACTTTGTTTTTGTGTCTGTTGGTGTAATGGTTAAGAGCGGCAGACTCTAATCTGGAGAACTGAGTTTGATTCCCCACTCCTCCACATGAAGCCCAGCTGGGTGACCTTGGGACAGTCACAGTTCTCTCAGAGCTCTCTCAGCCCCACCTACCTCACAGGGTGTCTGTCTGGGGAAAGGAAGGGAAGGAGATTGTAAGCCGCTCAGACTCTAAGGGAAGAGCAGGGTATAAATCCTCCTCCTCCTCCTTAATTTTAAGTATCCCTGTAGTGATTTCATGTTTAACTGTGTGTATGTGTCTTTAAAAGTTTGGTTGCATGCCTGTGTGATAGTCTAGTGTAATTGAAACAGGCAAGTGGTGTGAGTGGTGAGTGACAGAGAGGGGGAGGGGTTTTGGAAATGATTCTGTGTGGATGAGCAGATATGTCAGTCAAGAGTGTTAGTTAGTGAGATGACAGTTGAAAGTCAGTTAAGTTCTGTGACAGGGAGAAGAGTGAAGCATCCCTGTGTGGGATGAGTTTAGTTCTGGGGTGTGAAGGAGAGACCTTCTTGTGTGTGATATGAGAGTTAAGTGCTGTGTCTGAAAGAAAGTGACAAGCAGTTCTGTGTTGAAACAGTTATAAGCTGAAGCTGAGTGTCTAGGAAACAGTAAAGATTATATGGACATAAAGGAAAAAGTGTTACAAAGTTACCTAAGGAAAAATCCCTGTCAGTAGGGAGCAGACTGTGTGTTATACCTACTTTACTAGTTACATGGTTCTACCCTCGTATTTATGCTTTCTTTAAATAAATCCTATTTCATTCAAGTATACCAGCTCTAGAAAGAATCCTTCCTCAGACCACATAGTTCCTCGAAAGCTTAAACCCTCGATCCACCTACCCTGTGATAGAAATAGTAAAGCATAAAGGTTTGGAAAGCCTTATAAATTTCCTGGTGGCAGCCGGAAACACATAATAAAATAAAACCTAAAGAACACTTTAAAGGGAAACCAGACCTCCCCAGTTAAGGGGTCGTCACAATCCCAAATGAATGTAAAATGTTACTTTATCAACATTATCACCTGGCAGCAGCAGCAGAAGGAAAAGCAACACCGAACTCTTGGTTTCTCAGAGGTGGTGCTCTTCCTACAGAAAATCAACCATTTAGCAGATGGAGGGGTCAGAACCAGCTGTCAGTTTCCCATCTGATGATTATGATAGCTGCTTTCTGCAAGTTTGCTTTTGTTAGCCAAAGTGAACTGAACAATGTCTTTTGTATTCTGTTGTAGTTCAACAGCAGCGTGCTGCAATGTGTTGAGCCAGTATAAAAGAGGCTCAAAAAAGGAGTAAAACAGTTTTGTGTGAACCAGAGTTAGTAGCAGCTAATCATAATTCACAATGTTGTGTGTTTGGTGGGCTTTAGTTCACTGACGTTATGCCACAGTAAATCTGTAAGTTTTCAAGAAGATGCAAGATTCTTTCCTGTATGTGTTTTTTGCCAATAGATAAACAGTTATTTTGCAGGAATGTGGAACAAACAAGTTCTCTTTGTGCTTTGTCTGGCCAGGATCTCAGCAAAAGCCCTAAAACAATGAAAAAATTGCTGCCCAAGCGAAAACCTGAACGGAAACCATCAGAAGAAGAGTTTGCACTGAGAAAAAGTAAGTATGTTTGTAATACAGGGGAGTAGAGGATTCCTCTTGCTTGGCCAAAACATTGGTATTCGCAGCTGTTTTCAGAAGAGGGTATAATACCTTTGTAATAATGCAGCTTGAACAGGAGTTGCACCACTTGGAATAATGCAGTTTGAACAGAGGTTGATCCAAGTCTCTATATCAGGGGTGTTAAACATGCGGCCCAGTGGCCGGATCAGGCCCCCGGAGAGCTTCCATTAAACCCGCAGTGGAACTGGCCATCTTCTACTTTCAGTTCTGCTGCTGCTGCATCATAGCTTGCTTTGCCGGACTCTCTTAATCACTCAGCCATTTCATGTTTTAACCTGGGTCCTAGACTCAGAACTCTGAGCATGAGAATTCTGTGATGAATGTCAATAAATCAAAAGTAGGCTTACAGCTTACAGAGCTAATGTTCTAAGCAGAACTTTCAGTTCCCAAGGAGGCCAAGCTTGTGGCAACAAGGGCCAGGTCTTTCTCAGTGGCGGCTCCTACCTGGTGGAATGAGCTCCCGGAGGAGATCAGGGCCCTGTGGGACCTTGTGCAGTTCCGCAGGGCCTGCAAGACGGAGCTCTTCCGCCAGGCTTATGAGTAGGAGTCGCCACGGCCACTTACACCACCGCTCTGTTATAGAGAGAGACCACTGGGGGGGTGGGGTAACATCTTTCCATCACCCCAGCCTTCCCCCCTGTTACACAAGATGTTAGGAGTCTATGTGTGCATCCGTAGAACTGATTTTAAGTTGTTTTAAATTTGTATTTATATCATGTAATTTTGTATACTGAACGCACTTGGTGCCTTATGTGAGCCGCCCTGAGCCCGTTCGCGGGGAGGGCGGGGTATAAATGTCATAATTAAATTAAATAAATAAATAAGCATGTTTTTATTTTAAATAAAAAAACCTATCTTTGTGTTTGTGTCCTTTAACGCTATCTGGCATTACATTTTATGACACCCATGGCCTGGCCCAACAAGGTCTCATTTATGTCAGAGTTCGACACCCCTGATCTATATAGTTTGTCATGCATACATCTCAGAGAATTCACAATTACAACATGCAATTGATCTGTTGAACCAGAATAACTGATTGTAATTTTTTTCCGTATGTCTCTCTTTAAAAGACTTGATCCTAGCTGGAAACCTGCTGTTTTGGGCTAGTTGTAATTGTAAAGGGTTTTAATTGAAAGGTAATTGTTTGGCACTGCTGTTCACTAGTACAAATTAACTAGGGGTGATAGTTGGTGTTACCCATCTTGCAGCCTGATCTTATGCATGTTTGTTTAGAATCAAGTCCCAGTGGGTTCAGTAGGGATTATTTCCATGTAAGTACTGTAAGGACTGCAGATCTAAGGGTTTATCAATAAGGATATTTCTGTATGGTGCTATCCTGGATGCTTTTTCAAACTCAATGGCTGCAGTCCTTGCAGCAGTAAGCCCTATTAACCTCAGTGGAACAAACTGTCAAGTAAATTAGCATAGAATTAGGCTACAAATGCAGGTCATGTAATCTATTTTCTCAAGAAACTGTTTATTGCACTTCAAACAGGAATCTGAATTCTGCCTTGTAGCCCCTGGCTGGCTTCCATTATTTTAATATCTTTCCTTTTCATTTATTTTATTTATTAATTATACAGATGTGTACCCTGTCTTTCAATAAAAGCTATGAAGGTGGCTTATCCAAGAAAAGCATTTTAAATTACTGGTTAGATCCAAAGGTGCCATTCCACTTGCATAATGGTTGTTGCATTGGCAGAATGGTATTTATGCTGACTGGGGAAGGAAGGGCTTTTTTTTTGTCATTTCCCCTTCCTACTCTGCCTCTCATGCTGTTCCTGTGGGTCAATTGACACTTCCCCACCCCTGAGAAAGGGGCTTGGTGGTCTACAGCTGAAGGGGGGAGGCAAGGAAGTCCCAGTTCACCAGATTCTCTGTGCTTTCAGTGCTTTGGATCCAGCCCAATAATACCAAGTAATTCAGTAGAACAATCCAAAGAACATACCAAGCAGTAAAAAAAAAAAATTAAAACAATAATTGGGTTTAAAAGTCAAATCTTAATAAAAACAATGCCTCAAAGCCTGACAGAAGGAGATAGTTTTTAGTAACTCTGAACGGACACCCTGGAGAAGTGAATTTACATGTACCTACCTGCAGCACAGAGCAGGTACTCAACAACTGAGCTGAGCATATGGATGTATTCTAACCGGAGAAGGCGTTCCTTGAATAGATTTTCTTTTCTTTACTTCTTCTTCCCAACGAGGACGCAAAGCAGCTTATACCTTTCTCCTCTCCTCCAGTTTACCCTCACAACGACCTTGTGAGGTAGATTAGCCTAAGTGTGTGTGAGTAGCCCCAGGTCACCCAGAATGTTTGCCTGGCAGAGTGGGGATTCGAACCTGAGTCTCCCAGATGTTAGTCCAACACTCTAACCACCACCTCATGCTTTAAATAAGTGTTGTTGAAATTTCGCTAGCAACTTAATAATTACCCAGGTTGTCTTAAATCCCTTTCCTGACTCCAGGTATAATGTTATTAGGCTGCAGAGTGAATGCGTTGTGGGCTGCTGTATTATCAGCAAGCTCAGAATCTCTCTCTGCTAGAGACTGTCACTTCAGATTTCGAAACACTGAGCAATACCACATGAATAAAGTGATGTAGACCGGCACCATTATCCTGTCAAGAGCCATGACTGTGCAAAGTTAGGCTGTACTACAGGGGTAGAGACCTTGATAGATATCAAGTATAAGCAGGCAGGTCGGGGGCGGGGGGAGGCTATGTGCCTGTCCAGCATCTCAAGACCTAACAGGCAGCCCTGAGAAGGCTGAATGTTCATTTGAGACTCATTCTCCTTCTTACTGTATCTTGTGCCATTTCTTTTTGTTTTCTCTGTTGGAAAGAAATAATGCATCTAATCTTTCCAAAAACCATCTGTACTGTCCTGGGGTTTTTAGCGACCACTGTTACTTTCTTGGAAGGAAAAGGATCTGATTATTTCAGCCATTAAAATGTGGTTCTTGTGGACTCCTCCATGGGTATGACTCAAGGAAGTTGGCATTTCTTTCTCCTGCCTCCCTTTAAAAAGGGACTACTAATAGACCCTTTCTGCCAAGCACAGAATGCTGTGGCCACGTAGTACTTCATCTGCTGTCACAGATATGCATAGAGGACTGGTCTGAAGGTCTGTATTTTTTTGATAGCTTTGTGTCGCGTAGCTGGACAGTAAATGGGTCATGGTTTAACCCTGTCTGAGAACCTTGAGTGACAAAGGATTCAAACAGAATTCTACAGTTGAGTGTGGTAGTTAGAAGTGGTAGTTAAGAATGACAGTAGAGCTTGAAGGAGAATTAAGCATATTGAGAAGGTCAAGAAGGTCCTAAGTTAGGGAAATGGGACGAGTGGCCCTTCCCTGAGGGATATAGCTCCAGCTCCTAGTAAAGGGGATTATCCCTATCAAGTCTGAGGGAAATAGCTCCTAGTAAAGGGGGGGTGATCCCTATCAAGTGATTAAGAAGGGATATTGGAACTTGTGCGAATGTTCCTGCCTTCACCAGCCTAAGTATCTTTGAGACAAAGAAGCTTATGCTTGTTTATTTAAGTAGAAACTGCAAGAAATCTCCTCAGTTTTAAAGACCTATCTGTCTAACAAAACAGCTACTTGTTTGTGAGAAATTATCTTTGTATATTTATACAAAGTTACCTCATTCCTGTTGCCTGTTCACCTTCTAAGTCCTAAACCTGGTAGCTACCTGAGCATTTCCCCTCAAAAGTGAAATAAAGAAGTGTGTTAGTTTTGAATTACTATAATCAGGAAAGACAAACAAAGGATTTTAGTTGGTCCCTCAGTTCCCTAGGCTGGCTCAGCATATATCTATACCTATTTAAACAACTGGGTGGGACAGAGAGAGAAACAAAGAAGAAAAGGGACTGTTCAGCCAAGAAAAGATAAAGGGAACCAAAAAGGGGAAATGTTATAGTAGCCCTACAGCAGAACTGAATCATGCCCTTTTTTGTTTTTGGCTTTAAGTTGTTTTTAAAATACAAAAGCCTGTTGAGCTCCAGTTACAATGTATTGTATTTTTGTTTTACACAGGTACAGCTGCTTTAGAAGAAGATGCTCAGATTCTAAAAGTTATTGAAGCTTATTGCACAAGTGCCAAAACACGCCAAACGTTAAATTCAAGTAAGTTTTGAAAAAAGTAAACCGTTGTTGCTGTCCTATTAATTCAGCAAATAGTATCACTAGTCTCCTTTGAGGGTTTCAGCTGATTGTAGAGATCTAAGTGCTGGAAATAATTTACATGTAAACTCCTAAAGAATAGAACAGGTAAATACTTGCTTTTTAACCTGTGAATTTTTATGGTTCTTTTTGCACTCACGTGACTGTGATACTGATTCAGTAATACCATATATACTGTGGTGATCAAATCTGTAGGTACAGTAGGAGCTGCCATGGTGTCATATTAGGTATAGTCTGAGAACATTCTCATATTCTGTTTTTGGTTGTTGTGACCAAATATGTATTTCATACTCCATTTAGTTCTGATCTATATAACTTAATGGAAAGGCTCTCGGACCATTCAAGAGTGCTGTTTGCAATCTGCCGTACTGTCCCTAGGTCAGGGTTCCCAATCTTCACATACTTGGGGGGACAGGATAGGGGATGGGGGGTGGTTTAAAGCTGGCAGCACATTTCACTAAAGTCAGGAAGGTAGAGACGTGTTTTCTTGATTAGCTTCCAGAAGACAGTGGGCAGGTATCCTTCTGGGGTAGCCTAGTTAATTTGGCCTCCCCTTTTAGAATCATGGAATCATAGAGTTGGAAGGGACCTCCAGGGTCATCTAGTCCAACCCCCCTTTACTATGCAGGAAATTCACAACTACCTCTGCACAGGCTGAGAAGTAAGAGTGTGCTTTTTGGGCCAGTATGCTGCTTCTGGGAATACCCCATGCTTGTAGACAGTGTTGAGTACCTGCCAGAGCATCTTACTTTCCCTTTCCCTTAGAATGTTGTCACTGCCGATGTATTGGAAGTTAGGAGGTATTAGTGCTGCATGGAGGAGCATAGAATGGTAGATGCATCCAACACGCTGGGTTAATTTTTCAAGGTACGCTAGCCACTCTTGTGGCACAAAGCCTGGCAATTAAAGGCCCAAGAGTTTCTGCCCCAGTGTTAAAACTTCCAGTGCTGGAACAACGGCCCTGGGATCCTTTTGGCTGTCCAGGTTCCTGATGTTGTACCAGTCCCACAGGGTTGTGGATGTTCACCAGTATTTTTTGGGCTGGTTCAGCAGATCTTAGGGTTGGGCTGCAAAAACTATCATAATATGATACGTGTATAATCTTGTACTCAGCCATACATGAGATTGCTTTTAGCTATAGAAATGCTAAGTGTACATATGGAATGTAGCTCACTTGATATTTCAGCTTTTTGGTTTAGACTTTTGTATTTTGTTTTTTTTTAAAAAAAAATATATATTCAACCAGAGATGTACTTTGGAAACAACAACATTTAAGAGACTTTTTCCATTAAGAGAAAATGTAACTGGCTATAAACAGTTCATAGCAGATTAAACATTTCTTTTTAATAATTCCCCTTTGTTCCAGAAGATGATACATGTATTTTGTACATATCTGTATGTTTAGCAAAGCTGCTGTTTTCAGTTACTCGGACATATACCCAACTTACACTGTTTCTTGGGGACCCAGATTATTTAATCTTTAACAAGGCTGCAATGGTGGAGATCCTCTGTTGTAAGTAAAGCATTGCACCTAACAGGAGAATCTGCCAGCATGTATTATAGCTGCATAAGGGAGTAAATATACTCTCTCTGGTATGTTCCAGTTTGCACAGTTTTGCCATTAATTATAAACCTAGTTAATAGCGTTATGCTCCAAATTGTCAAATTATAAAATATTAAATAGTGTTATTGGCAGAAATTGATGTAGATATTGGTGGATATTCATCCATCAAGCTCCTTAACGCTTAACTATTTGTCAGATATGTTGGTTAATGAATACAGTGGCATGTAGACATTTCTATACCAAATGTATTGGACTGGCAATTGACTATCATTCTACTTTTTACTTCAGACTTCGGTTAGAGTTCATGCATGAATACTATGAAATGAGATTTAGCCATTACTAGTGTTAATTTATTGTAGGACTACTTCATAGTCTTTTGATACTTAGATTTTTCTGGCTGTTACAAGAAGGTTCATAGACACTTTCTGAACCATAACAACAAACTATTTGTATCAAAGTGGTAAAACTGTCTCTTGCTGTGTTATAGTTTTATATGTTTCTGTTTAGGCTATGTTACGAATTTCCGCTGATTCAGACTTTGTCCTCGAATGTTACTATTTACCAGTCCTACAATAATCTTGTACAGGATTTTTTTTTGAATGATTGTACAGGGTGGGAGAGAAAAGATAAAATAAAATTGCTGGTGCTTTAAATGGCACAACTGTGTTCAGTTGGTGTGTGTAATTTTTTTTTAAAAAAAATTCAAGGTGACGACAAATGTGTTTTGAAGCGTACTTTTTAAAGTTAATGTAAACGTGCGTGCTTACAGACACACAACTGGCGTAAAATAGTTTTTGCTTTTTTTGCCTGTCCCCCTTTCTATGTATATTTTGTAAATATACATAGTGCAATAAATTTCATTGCTTACATTAAAGTACGACGGCTTTTATTTGCATTTATTTGCAATGAAAAACAAAGACAATAGCATTTAGATGCACGGCTTCTTTTTCCTTCCAGGCTGCTGATATTGTTAAAAATATATATAGTTTTTCTCCATCTGTGCACACGTAATTTTAAAAACAACAAAAGAAATTGGCTTTGACCTTTTTCTATGGGAATAAGGCCTATGAACATATAATATTTTAATTTTATCAAACAGGGAAATGTTGCAAACTGGCCCCAAGTGTCCATAAAATGGTGCCCTTTCATGTGACACAGTTTCTTTGCCTGCAGACTGTCCTCAGTCCTGCGCTCATGTCCCTGTCCCTCTGAGTGCAGACCTGGCAATTCTGCTAGTAGCATCTTCCATGTGTGATTTTGGAGCTGCTGCTTCCAGAAAGGCAGATTCAGCATGACCGGGGGACTCTGTGGCCTGGCATTCAGTGGTAGGATAGGCATTTCCAAATGGAAAGTGTGTCTTGTGACAAGGTTGCTGGGAAATGAGAGCAGCTGTTCCCCCCCCCCCTTCTTAAGTCTTGTCTTTCACTCTGTGCACTATCTGCTGCTCTCTGGGCCTTTCCGCATGATCAGATTGTTGTGCGGCAAGAGTGCATTTATTTCTCCTTTGTTACGTACAGTCTAAACACCTTCCTTCAAGGATCTGCTACTCTTGAGGAGGGAATATTGCATTTTCCTCAGCACTAAAATGTATAATATCTTGTGCCTGTGAGGAAAATGCTGTTCTTCCTATATGTAGTTCATTCGCTGCTCTCTTGATAATCTTTATGTACTGAGTTTTGATACAATGAGCGATGAGGAACACCATGTTTCTCTCTCCTTGGTTGTAACTTCGTCCTGAGGAACAGTGGATGCAGTCCAGCTCCTTTGAATCTATGAACCTCTTCGGGTTTTTATTTCTTTCTTTTAACAAATCTTTAGATTGTGGCTTAAGAACATAAGAAGAGCCCTTGCTGGATCAAACCAGTGGTCCATCAAGTCCAGCATCCTGTCTCACACAGTGGCCAACCAGTACTTCTGGAGGTCCAGCAACGGGGTACAGAGGCCAAGGCTTTCCCTGATGTTGCCTCCTGGCCCTGGGATTCAGAGGCTGACAGCCTCTGAATGTGGAGGTCCCCTTTGGTCACCGTGGCTGGTAGCTTCCCTTGTAGCTTCAATGTCCTTCCCTTCCCTTCTACTCACATATTTGGATTCTCCCCTTTTCTTTCTCCACATGTAATTTCAGGCTGTTGTTTGTAAAAGAAGAGAAAGGGAGGGACGAAATTTGAGTGCTACAGGGAAGAGACAGTAAGGAGGGAACATGTTCAGCGTGCAGCATATTTCTGATCACTGACTTTGGGTTGTTTTCAAAACTAAGTTTGGGTTGTTGAGAACAGTGCTCCCTGAACTATGTGTGTGTGTGACACTCCCCCTGTTTTTTTTATCTCCAACATCGGGAGTGTTTATCTAGCCAAATTTGCACTTAAATTGGAGACATCTAGAAAGCCCTCGCAGTAAGAGATATGCTGCCTTCTACATGGAATGCACATCTGGCTATATTAGGGTGGAAGGTGAGAAAGGCAGCATACCTAATACGACTTTTCTGTTCAGCAAGACTCTCTTGTCACTTATATTACATGTGGTTGAGACGTTGTGATGCCTTCACTGAATAAGGACTGTGAGGTACATTGCCCAAAGTCTAGACTTCTTTTGCAGTGTCCCCATGAACTGATCATGTGAAAAGGCCCTGAAGTAACATTAAAAGAACTGGAGAAACAAGTGGATGCAGCCCAGCTCTGTTAAATCCAGTAAATCATTTTGCTTTTGATGTCAAGGTGAAATGGTCTGCACTTTTTCTTCTCAAGACAGTACACACTCAACTTAGTTCCTTCCATTAAAATCAATGGGGGAATCCATGGTGGGCACAGAATTTTGGCTCAGTTCTCATGTGCCATCTTTGGCATGGTGAATAATTGAAAACATAATTGCATAGAGTTCCATGTTGCAAAGCTTTTTGTAACCCCATGTGGTTCTAGCCAAATTTGTCTTTAAACCTTTTTCAAGGGGTTTGTGATATTATAGTTAAAACGGTTCATACAGTCTGATATCATATGGGGCAATGTTCACATGGTTGTTTCCAGTGGGCACAGAAGGTTGGTACTTGGAAGGGAGACTACCCATGAAGAGTCTGCAGAGGAAGGCAGTGGCAAGCCACCTCTGCTTCTCACTCGCCTTGAAAGCCCCTTGATGGAGTCACCATAAGCTGGTTGCAACTTGACGGCACTTTGCACAAAAACACAATAGGCCACAGACTGCACATCTGAATTAGGCCTTACTGAACTATTGACACTCCCACATGATCTACCTTTTTACTGGATAGACCCAGTTAGTATGGTATCTGCCTTCACAGTAAGTTTGCAGTTGCCTAAGTGATTTTATCTGACCTCAGGTCATCTTCAGAGTCCCCCCCTTTTCCCCAAACTAAATGTAGAACTAATGCAAA